CCAGCCCCCAGAAACCACTTCCCAGAAACCAGCCCCCAGAAACCAGCGTCCAGAAACCACTTCCCAGAAACCAGCCCCCAGAAACCACTTCCCAGCCCAGAAACCACTTCCCAGAAGCCACACCACTTCCCAGAAACCACTTCCCAGAAACCACACGACTTCCCAGAAACCACTTCCCAGAAACCAGCCCCCAGAAACCACTCCCCAGAAACCACTTCGCCAGAAACCACTTCCCAGAAACCACTTGCCAGAAACCAGTCACCAGAAACCACTCCCCAAAAAACCACTTCCCAGAAACCACTTGCCAGAAACCACTTCCCAGAAACCACTTCCCAGAAACCACTTCCTAGCCTCGGGAGACCATTTCACCCGCGTTCCGAAACAAGGCGAATTCAGGGTCCGAAACGAGACGAATCCAGGTTCCGAAACGAGACGAATCCAGGTTCCGAAACGAGGCGTCGGCCCACGGCCTACAACTCGGGTAGCAAACAAAAGAAGCAACAACGCGGTCGCAAGCGCAACATGTTTCACCCTACGGGCCATGAAAAGCTGCGTGGTGGACCGGTGGATACCATTTGAGTCGGGCGTGCTCATAGTTGAGGTTTTGTGGAATTCATTGATTGTATGATGCGGGTGCGCATTGTGAACTATACGTGTCGTGTACGCACCTACTCGTCGACGCTTTGGGTGAATGCATGCGCGCGGCTTTCATGAACAAGCTCGAAGAAACCACCCATGGCTTGTAGAATGGCCATTTGCGAGGTTGTACCCTTTGTCATCGGGTCTGCAAGCATATCGCGGGTGCCCACCCAAAGAACATGCGTCCGTGCACACTTTACAACATCTCGAAGCCAAGCTAGATGAGGGAAAAGGCTCTTTTCTGTCGGCAATTTTGCTGAAGTACCTGTCCAAGCCTGAAAGAGATTCATCGCGTCGATGACCACAGTAATTTTAAGGTTTTGTCTGTGTGGCAGAGCGCCTTCTCTAAATCGGCGCAAAGCCTCGGGACTTAAGGGCTTATGGAGGATTTCCG